TACATTAGTGGCTTTTATCAGCTCAGCAGGCAAATAGAAATGGGTGTGTAACTATTTTTTTTCTCACTATTCTGAATCCTAGAGACTTACCATGCTACATGTCCCTGATGGAGATGAAGTCATTATTCCGAATCCAAGATATCATTGCTTGTGCCAAACAGGTTATCACTGTGGTTGAGATCAGTGCACGAGATGGCAGGGGCTTATCTGATGTAATGAAGTGGTTTCAATCCACCCTGCGTGATTGAAGCTGGAATCTGGAAACGCCAGCTGAAGTGTTTCCTGCAAGCAGCGGATCAACTTTGCTATTACAATCTTTGATGTAGAAATATGTCATTTAAATTATTCAGTGGATTGCCTCTTAACTGGCAAATTGGATTGTTGCTACTGCATGCAGATGCATTGAAAGGGAATGCAGCTTCTAATGGTAAGCCCAGTAATGATATACAAAGTATTGTATCATTTTCTCTAGATGAACATTTGTAGAGTTGAGATAATGACTAGTAAAATATGCTCTAACAGAGGTACCAATCAGGTTTGTAGGCAGCATGAAATTTAATTTCACTCATGTTTCTGTGTTTTGTATGAAGTCAGATTTGATGGAAGTACAAAGCAAACAAAATCCTGTTCTATAACACACTAGAAATCCAGATTGTTCAAGTCTGAGTACCTTTTTGTGTGCATAGTCTCTTGTGTTTTAGTTGTCAGTAGTTTTCTACAATGATCTAACCAAAAATTCAAACCTAAGAAGTATTAACTGGATGGGGTTTGGCAGATAGCTTTTGCCAATGATGCAGTCTCTGCTGTTCCTCAGCTAGAAATCCCATCTAGACCAGTGTGCAGGGGCAACATTGACCTACTGTATTAAATGCCATATACAATGTTTGCTGTATTGTATACTATTGGTTTTCTGTGAGATACATTAGAAATGTGTTTATTCTGTTGTGTTTCCTTGACTTTGATTTCTTCTCACAAGAATCTCACATTCTAGGATTTCAGCTTTTTGGTGAGCTCATACCATCATGTGAGCCAGATTAGCTGAGTCATGAATCACCAGCAAAAACATCAGTAGATTATAGTTGAATTACAAAATGGATATGCAATGTAGCAATTCTACAGTTCTGCACAACTAATTAGTTCTCTCAACCAATTAAGTTTAAGATGTAATGAGATGAGAGCCTTATCAATATTGGATGTTTATCTGTTTAAACCTCAGCTCTTCTATCACTCTTTTCACTAAAACTTTTATCTTCTCAGCTTTCCATGTTATTCTCTTGTGATATCAGTGGCCTCCATCAGAGCCACTAACCAGTTATTTGAATGCATTTATTTACTTATTCCAATTCAGTAACTCTCAAGTCTTTGAATGGTTTATAAGAAACCAAATATATACTAGGGTTAAAAGTATAATAAAGAATACTTACAGAATGAATGCTGGCATTCAGTTCGGTTGCACCTACTGCTGGACAATCACAAAGATGGTTTTACTAGAGGTGAACACAGGTGACATTCTCGTCCTGTCTCACAAAATGGGTAGATTCAACCCAGTAGAACTGACTCTCCTATCTCATCATGCTATATCCCTCTGTGTTCACCCTCCATAAACACCCAGTTTAATGGGAGCTTTAATTGCACTGAATTCCCAATACCAAAAGCCAGTCAATTATGAACTCAATGTATCTGAATGCTATGAACAAACCTATTTTATGCTGCCATATTTTCTTACTGGGGTTTTTATGACAATGCTCTAAATTAGACACTTAAATATTTATCTGAAATAAATATTTCATAGAATAAAAACTACTGTGTCAATGATTAAGCCGCTCTTACAGCATCACTCTGTACAAGGCTCATCATTACTTTCATTTTATTGAAATTTACTAGTAACTTTGTTCTAGTAATTTGTTCTTTAAAGTTTAGAAGATATTTAGTTTGCAGGCCAAAATTATAGTCTCCCTGAGGAATTAGCTTGGGCTCAGAGAATAAGCAAAAAAGGGCTGGTAAGGGACAGCCACTGACCTCCAAGAAGTAGAGCTGATGTTAGTCCTGTTACATTGCTTTCTGAACCTCTGATTCAGAAACATCTTTCATAATTGATTGTTAAAGTAGCATTTCCAATTGTATCAATTCAAGCAAGCACAGACTGTCCTTAATATTCAACATGGATAGATTGGAGATATGACATGTCCAGAAATGAGATTAGTTCTTTTTTTTTTTTTTTTTAAGCAAGTTTTATTAATTTCAAAAAACAAACAAATCATCATCAACCATTACATATTTGAACCTTTTTCCATTATAGATTTAACAAGTCAGATAAAACCTTATCTTATACAATACATTTCTATATTATTTCATCTATTTCTTTCTGACTTGATTATCGTCACTCTCTTTCTATGTTTCTACAAGGTTTCACCAATACTCTCAAAGACATAAACAGACACAAACATACATATAAAAAATCTTTTAGTAAAGTAACTTGGCCCCAGGTACCTCTCTTTATATGGGCTTTAATTATATTCCTGCTCATCTTACAGATCATTACTTATTTTATTTACCATTCTGTATCTTCTATATAAACTTCTCCACACATTTCACTCTTCATAATTCTATCTTATTCAATCCATCTTAATTTAAATCATTATATTTGTATCTTTTGCCCATCCTTTATTATCCCTCTATCTCATTCCTTATAATGAAAAAAAAAAAGGAATTTCTCCTGAAATCACTAATCAGAGTATGATGCCTTTCTATCCTCTCCCTAAATTAATTAGATTAACATTTAAAATAACACCTAATACCCAATTTGATTCTGCTTGGTACATTCTATCTACTAATTTTTACTTTTAGTAACAATAAAAACAGAATAAAAAATCAAAAATGTTTAAATACATAATATCCTCCTAAATACGTAGTTAAATAATAAATCTAAATAATAAATCTTATAGCATTCTCATTGCCTTTCCCTTCAATATTTTATTACATTTTAAAAATCAATCATTATTAAACATTTCAACATTTTAATTTCTTATTAACTCTTAAGCCATTCTAATTTTCTATTTCTAATACAAATGTTACAATACCATCTTGTGTACCTTGCAGAATCTTTTTTAAAAAAAAATATGCTTTACCCATTATCCCTAAAAAAGATTCCTCTTTTCCCATCTAATTTTAAAACTTTGTGGCTTTTCTCCGCCTTTCCCCTTTCTTTCTTCCCCCACCAAATCTTCCTACCCCCCCTTCGTCTAACCTCTGTCTTGCCAGCATCCCTTCTCTGTTGTATTCCCTTTTTCTCTTGTTTGCTATCATTGTATTTATTTTGCATCATATTTTTCTCTTTCTTAAATGTTTTTTTAGATCTTAAATCCTTCATTTTCCTCGCTTTCTTCCTTCCTTCTTTCTTAGATGAATTTTGGGATTCATTGAAGATGGCGTCTTCATCTTCTTGTTGTTCTTCAGCTTCCATCTGTATTGTCTGTTCATAGTTAACCAATGCCATTTCTAAAAAAAGAAAAGCTTTTTCCATACCATCTTTACAGGCTGCTTTTGTTTGCTCATATTCATCCCTCAGTTCCTCAAAAGAAAAAGCCATTATAGATCTTTTCTTTTCTTTTTTCCCTCTTTCTTCTCACACCAACCAAAATATTCCAAAAGAAAAATAAGACAATCCCAAAGTCCACAATCCTCAAACAATCCAAGCCAAGCCAAAATTCCCCCTTTCTCTTCCAGGGGTAGTATCAGACAAAGGAAAAAAGAAAATTCAAATCTGTGTTTTGAAGCCTTATTAAGATTTTATTTCTGTTTTCAAATCCTTAAGGCATCTCCTCCAACAAAATCCAACCAGATAAATATATTTTTTGTCCTCTCCCTTCCGACTTATCCCAAAAAGCTAGTTTTACCTGGAAAAAAAAACAGGTTTCTCAATATCCATTTATTAATTCCGTCGGGGGGGAGAGTAAACTTTCCTTTCAGCACCTCAAAATTGCCGCTTATTTTCTCTTGTGGAAAGAATCATCCAAAAAGCCATCATTTTCAGGAATTAAATTAAATATATCTTAGAGTCCTGGGTCGACCAAGAAGACTTTCACTTTTAAAAACTTTCTCCTCTTCCTCCAGCGCATACTTGCCCAGCTGCCGGCTTCTTTGTGGCGGCCATTACGGACCGCCGCTGCACCGTCTTGGTAAAAGGAGGTTCTGCCGGCTAGGGAGGGGGTCTGCAGCACCCCCAAACCCTTTCCCGGATCCCCCCTACCTTCAGCTGCCCCTGCAGGGCAGCCTTGCTCCGCACCCTTTCGGATCGGAGCCCCAAAAATGGCTAGTGCGGCAGGGATCGCGCAGCTTCGCGAATCCCTACCACTCGCAAAGCCGACAAACCGGAAAAAAATCCAGAAATGAGATTAGTTCTGATGCTCCACTGCCAGTTAACACGTTTGGGAAAATATTTTCCACAGCTGGACTAAAGGGCATGATATTTTATTGTGGGATAACATACGTGTACCATCTAGTGAGACTCCTTTTCTTAATTTCTTAATTTCCATAAGGCATTAGAGCAGCTAGAATTTTTCAATGAGTTTTCAGCACATGGCTTAGATTGCAACACTTTTATTTAAAAAAAAACATCCTTTGGTTTCACCATGACACACACTCTCATACCTCCTTTCACTCACCTGACTCTTATGGCTCAGACAATTCTAAAAAGAAAGTTTCAGATTTTATTTACTGCCTGGAACATAGAAATTGTGAAAAATGGCCCGTAACTGTATACCTTAGTTCCATAAAGAAAATAAAAGATGAGGTAGCAAAGAGTTAAGATTTCCTCTACAGATTAGTGCTCAACCTGAAGTGAAAATCCATTCAAAGGATATGAGTTAAAACGTAGGCATGCACAGCCATGTTGGAGTAACTGCACACTATGAGAACTTAACAAATGACAACTATTCACCACTATTTAGGTAATTAGTAGCAAATGAATTAAAAGGGAATATAATTTACAACTAGAGAACTTTTTAAAGACAGTCATTTTTAATAATATTAAGCCATGATGTCCTGTGTAAGAAAGATTTCTTTCCAGTAACTCTACACTTTCCATGTGAGGTCACAGATTTCATAATCCTGGCAAAACAAAGTACTTAGACCATTGCTCATTATAAAATATAAATCTGACTTCTCTGTTATAAAAATTGTCTGTAAAAATCTTCAGGAAGTCTGGAAGCTCTTAGTCTGGTTCAGGTAAGGTTACCATTTGGCTGAAGACAAACTGGAATGGCCAGCAAACAGAATATAACTTCTTCAACTAAAGGTAGATGACATTCACATACAGGAAGTGAAGGGAGTCAACGTCAGATGTCTTTAGCAGCATGAACATGTTCATCAAACCTTTTCTGGATAGTCCCATATCTATTTTCCTTTTCCTAAGAAATCCTTCAGCGAAAGGTTCACTTGGTACATTCACTGGTAAAGATGCTAAGGGAAAATGGATCTGTAATGTAATAAGAAAATTAGTGATGATTTTAGAGTCAATGTAATGAACAATACATTTCCTATTGACAACACATTTTTCAACGCTTACCTTGCCTTTTTACATTTGTTCTCAAAATACCAATTTGCAAAATACAGTCCAACCTCATAAAATCCCAGGCATATACAATACTTGAATGACTGTATAATGTCCTCTAGCATCCTATGTGTTGAATAGAGGATCTAAAGACTTGGTTCTCAAGAGTAAACAAATACAGATAGTCCTCAACTTCATTCAGTGATCATTCCAAGTTAACAATGCCACTGAAAAAAGTGACACGATTATTTTTCAGTTACCTTTGTAGCATTCCCATGATCATGTGATCAAAATTCAGATGGTTCATACTTATGAATGTTGCAGTGTATCAGGGTCAGGTGATCCCCTTTTGTGACCTTCTGACAAGCAAAGAGAAGCCAGATTCACTTAGCAACCAGGTTACTAAGTTATCAACCACAGTGATTCACTTAAGAATTGTGGCAAAGAAAGTAGTAAAATGGGGCAAAACTCACTTAACAACATAAACTTCGGGCTCAATGGTGGTCGTAAGTTGAGGAATACCTCAACCTCAACTTTAACCTAGCCTAAACTTCTGCTATAATGTGTTCCCCCTCTCCCAGACTCCCATCCTTTTTTTCCATGCCTGCCATACTTCTGATGGAAGGGAGTACTTTCAGTCTTGAGCCTAAATGAAAGAAAAATGTTATTAGGAAAAATGTTGTTAGTCATAGCAAGAATTCAGCATCCACTTGTTCATGTTGTTGCTTAGGTCATGTTCCTTCCAGAGAAAGTTCCTGCAATCGGCAGCACAATATCTTAAGGTGGATATTGGGGATAGTCTCATGAGTGTGTGTTTATGACAAAAACAAGACCAATGTGCCTTCCTCTGAAATCTATTTGCTTCAGAGCTTGTAATTTTCTGCCCAAAATTTGGTAATTTGTTATAGTATTGTACACTGAAGGGGCTTAGAAAAACCCATAACTGCACTTGGTATTTTGGTCTACTGAAAGAGAGAAAACAGAAAGCAACTATTGCAGAATCCCAAAACAAAACTGTAACATATGAGGCTACTAACTGTGAATTTAGCATAGGCTTCTGCTAGTTTGAGCAAAGCTTTTAGCCAACTGCTTGGTCCCCTTGTTTGGCATATCGCTGTCCTGTCCTATCTTGTCCGTATTAGTTCCAAATAGCCTTACCTCATTTTCACCCTGTTGTACTTTCATTTTTCATATATAATATGAAGTCTTTGAATGAGAAACTTCTTGTCTTCTCTTTCCTGGAATAAGAGACACATTTAAGATGAGCAGTAGGAAACTGACTTTCTTAACAGAATGTGAAAATTATGAACGCTGAAAAAAATACAATATAGGAATGCTAATTGTTTTTTATGCTAGAGTTGATTGCTAAAAGTTTAGGATTGGCAAAATAGGTATGAACGGAAATGTCATATTGCAGTTTAGGTACCTAGAGTAGGAGGTCCATTTTATCTGTAGAGCTTTGGGCACCAGACAGTTTGCAGCCCTCTCCTTTCAACTACCTAGCTACAACTAGTGTAAGTTGTGCCATGCAGGAAGACAAGCTCTTTTTTCTTAAAAAAGTCACAAGGTAAAGCTGAATTGAGGGACTGTAATTAAATTGGTGAATATTACCAACTTTGGCAGTTGCTATTTAGTTACCGATTTTGGCTGAACATTTTTGAGGAAATCAGTAAGTTAATAATTAACTGTATAATTCTGTTCTTTTTTTCAGGACAAATAAAATGTTGCAACATTAGAAATGAATATTTTTGTTAGCTGCCATATAACAAAGTACAACAGAAAACCAAACAAACTTTTTTTAAAATTAGAGATTGTTACAAATGTAGGAAACAGTATTGCCTGAGAATAAACACAGTAAAATATCTTTAAGATTTTTTTTTGTTTAAAAATATTTTAAATCAGATTTAGTCTCCATTTTTTAGCCAGGGTAATCATGTAACTCATAATAGATTATTCCTGCCTAAAATTGTCTGTTTAGATAGAAATACTAAAAATGGATAAGGATATACAAAATGCCTACAAATGCTAGGGTTTTGGTTGTTGTTTTTTTTGGAGGGGGGAGGTTGTGTCCAAGTATGTTTCCTCTGGAAATAGAATACACTGGACTTGTTTTAGATAGAAATGTTTCAGGGGAGAAGATAAGAAAGGGGAAAAGCTAAGGACACTGGTAGTAGCTTTGGGACTGGAGGAAATAAGGGCACTGGAAATGTGGAATTGTGTAAATGATGATATAAATTCTGCTCATCATGCTTCCCCACCTTGTAGGGGAGATGGACTGCATAACAATTTAATAAATAAAATCAATAAAAATAAATCCAGATCATTATATTTGTTTGTTTCAAACGAGTGCATACATAATCTCAGTTTATGCAAGTTTTAAATATTTGCTTTAGGCTATGGTACCTTCTATATTTCTGATAGGGTTTTTGTTGTCATCCTTTTAATTACTAATGTTTATTTTTTACTCTATGTTTAAATTAAGATTGTTTAAAAAGGGGAACCACTCTCCTTTAGTACTCACATTGGCAATCTGGCTCTTTAGTATTGAAATGATACTCCGTAGACCCTTTATCATCTCAATGGTGAAGTAGATCACAGCACTGTAAAACACAAGGTTGGATAGTGTGATATTTATGCTGACAAATTAATTAACACATAAGGAAAAGAACAATGCGTGCTCCAAAAAGGCTAAGAGAATTGGCAAGGGGAAATGGCTTTGCCCAGTATTTTCAGTCGTAGAACAGAAAACACAGTCCTTTAGAAGAACAAGAGGAATCAGTTATCTATGACCAGATAAGTCAGCACATCTAAAATACCTATATCTTTTGGTGAGTATCTTGAGACCTCTACCCACTGCTTGTAGAGAGCATTTAGAGTGGCCTTCAAGGACAGGAGGAAGAGCCAATACTAAGGCAATGATCAGACAAGCCCAGTTTGAGCCCACTGCAAGGAACGAGTTTGAGTACATATCTCAGACAGGCTCCTTCACACTAAGATAAAGTGAGGAAGCACATTTAGACTTGCAAGAATCTGTTACTGTAGCTATCACAATCAAAATAGTACTGACCTACATGGCATGATTTCTTACTATGGTCTATCTTATAGGGCTGACATTGTGAGACGCAGGTATATAAAATATGCCACCTCGCTATGTGTGTAATTATATAGTAGTTACTTTGTGAACAAAACATCAACGGTTCAGCAAAAATAAACTTTTTTCTAGTTCCTGAATTTTCATTAAAAATATAAACTCTCAACAAACAAAACATAAAATTGTAAATGTTAAAAGCAACAGCAAATGTTAAGATCTTAATAGTATAATGTAGGGGTGTCAAACTCGATTTCATTTAGGGCCACATCAGGGTTGTGTTTGATCTTGGGGGGTTGGGCGGGTGCATGGCCAGAGACTATGGCCAGCTTGATGTCACTTGTCAAGGCTCCATTTTTGACCGCAATGGCCTCCTACAGCTCTCTGCCAGCGAAAACAGAGCGTGCAGCCTCCTTGGGCCTCCGTTTTTGCTGGCAGAGGGATGCAGGAGGCCGTTGCAGCCAAAAACAGAGCCTGGGCGTGCCTTGCAGGGCCTCCCTGAGCCCTGTTTCTGCTGTCAGAGGCACTGCGGACTGGTCCCTCCCTGTTTCCAGGGTGTCCCAGTGAGCCAAATCTAAGCACCTTAAGTTTGACACCCCTGATAAATTGTATCTTACATCATACATTTTAACATTAAAAATGATCTCAACTAAATTTCAAGTATTTTACTTAGCTTTGCATAAACTATTCAACAAACAGGGCTTCTTAATGTTAAAAAAAACTTACTTAATACTAAATATAATTATACTTGTACTATTTTTTACTGCAGAGATCACCTCATATTCATAATTTTCTATGTAACCGTGCTGCTTTATTAGCCTTAGAATATTTATTCTTTTTACCGTAATAAATTCAAAACTCTGGATTTCATGTTGAGTAATTAGTTTAATTCTGAATCACACTGTGAATCAGGAATTACTAATTTAACATTTACCACAATTACAAATATGTAAATTAAAGATGTATAAAAATAGCAATAGCACTTAGACTTATATGCCGCTTCACAGTGCTTTACATCCCTCTCTAAGCGGTTTTACAGAGTCAGCACACTGCCACCACAATCTGAGTCCTCATTTTACCGACCTCGGAAGGATGGAAGGCTGAGTCAACCTTCAGCCGGTGAGACTCGAACTGCCAAACTGCAGGCAGCTAGCAATCAGCAGAAGTAGCCTGCAGCGCTGCATTCTAACCACTGTGCCACCATGGCTCTTAAAGTTATACATATTATATTTATTAATTTATTTTTAATTAAAAGCTTTCTAATAAGTAAACTAATAAGTAAACTGACAGTTCATTCTATAACTCTTTACTAATACTGTACATAATTTGAAGTTTTTAAAATATCAATCGTATTTTATACATCTTCCTATAATATAGTCTCCATTTTACTTTTCCAAATCATTAATAATTTTCTATTAAATATTTCCAGTCAACTTTTTAAGGCTTTTTACATTGATTGGAAGAAGACAAATTAACACTTTTTCATGAACTTCCTAGAAGTTCATATAAAACCAAACTAAACATTATATTAAACTAAAATCTACGGCAAATTATACCTGTTTGATTTGCATACCCAGCAGCAGAAACCATCAACAACTTCTGATATATCCTAATGCTACATTAGGTTGAAAAATGGCATGCAATCAACTTATACATAGTATTCAATCACTCTATTGCATGATACATACATCTGCAAAAATATTCTATGCACCATGGCTAACAAGTGTTTATGATTTTCTAGGCTTACATAAATAAATTTGTCATTTCAACTTACATCAACATTGCAATGATTAGCAACAGGAAATAGGAAGTTTGGAAGAGGTTTTGATGGATCCAGGTAAACCAAGTGATATTTGGATTGGATTCTTCCAGTTTTAGTACCCATACCTTCCAAGAATCATAGATGGTATCAAAAGTTTGAAAAGGTCCACACATTTCTGATGGTTTTATTCTGTATGGGGAAAGAGAGGCTGAGTATCAAAATGTCAAGCAAAAATATCTCATGTAACTACCACATTTAATTCTTCATTTTATAGATTTATATGTAATCTATATTGCTTATTATAAATCCAGTGTTTTCAGTATTCATTAAACACAATTTATAGCATCAACGTATAAGAAGCAATTTCCCTCTTAACATATGTTCCTTCTTTATTTAACAATGTATAAAAGATGTGCCAAAGGTGCTTTTTCTAAAGGTAACAGGATTTCATTTTTTCTTAAACTTTTCACTTCTCATCCAAGAAGCTTCTTCAGTTCTGACAGTCAGAACTGAAGAAGCTACTTGGATGAGAAATGAAACCTCTTCAACGGAAAACAAAGTCCAGTTGCCTTTTGAAAAAGCACCTTTGGGATAACCATGACCCGGATGACTGAGAATCTCCATAGACATATATAAAAGATGCAGCATATGCAACTATGTGTGAATTGGAGTTCTGAGAATGGAAAATAAAACAGATCTAATTGTGACATCTCCACTAATGGAAAGAGCGATTTGCAGCAGCTTAAGATACATTTTTCAAAAGAAAAATAAGTGCTTTGTTAAAATAACATCATACTAAAAATTGCAATGACAGAATAATCCCAGGGTCACTTTATCAGAAGTGCAGTCTATAGTTTCCTGACCTGACAACAGATTGTGTTAAAATGGTTCTGCTGTGAGTACCAATGAACTAGCATTGGTAGAAGACTGGCCTCTTAGGAGGAAAGGAACACTTTTTTTGGTGCCATGGTAACTTGTATATGGGATGGAGATACAAGTTCTACAACACAGTGCCGGTAAGAGCTCCTTTCTCCCTAAAAGCACCAAAACTGGATCTATTTTGTATCAGACAAAGGATGACAGTATGGAGATTACAGAAATGTGAAGGAGGAAGTTATGATTATTTGGTCTGAAATATTTCACATCTGGAATGTAAACGCAAGGTTATATTGCACGGAAAATTTACTTACGCCCAGATAGTATAGGAGAGGAATATGGAGGCACCCAGGAATGAAGGGAAGCATAGCAAAGAGATGAAGATGGTGCTCATGTGAGATGCACGCCAGGGTTTACTGGGACATTGACAATTTCTCATCAAGCTGACCTAAGATAGATTCATAGGAAAATTCATGGGTTTTTACTTACTCCTAAGAGCTGTAATTTTTGAGTAAAACTTACATGCAGTATATACGTATGTTGAAACAGGTGAACTCTAGACAATAAATGCTTCTGCTCTGCTTTAAGGGTAACTTAAACTCTACAAAGGAATAAATAATGTAGGGTGATTTTAAGGAAGGGAAAATAAACCATGGCCAAAATATTTTCTCCTGTAAATGTAACCTCCCAAAGCATTTTTAAAAAATTATTTTACAAAAAAACACTCTAATTTACATCTCAAAGTAACAGTGCCTTTCATTCACTGCGGCTTCTGAATGTTGTTGAATGTGTCTGGGTGTGAAATAAACATCTTCCTCTTGGCCCAGAACTCCTGATGGATTTCCATTTCTGTAAATGGTCTTCTGGTCAACATAGCTCCTCCAATTAAATGTGATTTGCTAACTTTTCTATCCTGACCGGGGGAGGGGGGAGGGCTCTAATATTGCACCCACTTCCACACTCCTGTCCTTTGTCCATGTATGCTGCCAGGTAAAGCCATGTGCCTCAGAACTAAGAAAAATGGCAACTAAATTACCTTCTTAACATAGAACAACAGGAGCAATTTGAGGATTTGGACCACAGGAAGAAGTGGGGCAAAGAAGACGCCAAGCCTAGGAAAAAAATTAAGAAGATGAAGAAATGTTATTATATTGCTTAGCTGTTATTTCATTAAGATGCAATACAATGATACAATTCTGCACTTCACCCCATTTGCTTAAGCAATCAAAAGCTTTGATTTAGAGATGGAGATGGATGGACCACAGAAGCCAATGATAATGCATTATAATGAATACCAAGGGTCTCTCTCTCTCTCATACATGTCTCCATGAGGTTAATCTAATGTATTTTTTAAACTAAAATATATAAATGTGTTGGGAAGTATTTCGAAAACTTTGACAAAGGCAGGGTAAAATTATTTTAAATAACATGCACACAAGGCTTCTAAAGATCAACATACTTTGAAGCTTGTAATTGGGTTTTTTTGTATAAGGAACAAAACAGGAAACAACCAACAGAAGGAAAAGAAAGAGTCTCACCAAGTTAGGGTTTGTCCATAAATCAAATCTAGCACATTTCTAGCAATGTCAAATTCAGGCCTCTGTTTACTTTGCAACTTCTTTTCCAATATGATCCTGAAAGAAGAGGGAAGAGGCTGAGCTTACAAATTCAAAAATCAATTTTGGTGTTGCTATAATTTATATATAATCCTCTATTTTTATTCAAAATATCAAACAAGTTATTTCATTTCTGGAATACTTGTCTATTAAGTAAAAAAGATACATTTTTTAGACCCTCAAAGCTTCCACTTTAGGCGTTGACCCTTTTTGTTGGTATTTATTTACCTGGAGTAGCATCTTCATAAGGGGTTAACAACACAATTCTATTGGAGCTTACTCTGAAACAAGTCCAATAATTAGAATTATATTTAGGATGGCAGGTAGTTCTTTTTTAACAACTGCCTTGGATAGCAACAGGCTGGGGATACATGGTGATGAAAAAGCAACTTTGCAATGTTTGCTACATGTCTCTCTTGCTACATGTCTCTATTGATCAGTACGATCAGCCAGTAAAGATTATCCTGTGCGTGACTTGTTTTTTCTTCTTCTACCCCTTCCCTTCACACAGCAGAGATTGCCCAAACAAGCTCTCTTTTCCACAGCTGCTTTTCTAGGCAGTGCCACCCACCTTAGAAAATGCTAATGGAATGTCAACAAGGTCAGCTCTGTGACCTTAATTAATCAGCTTGCCTGAATTTAATCAGTTTCACACTAAAGTTTTTTGTTTGCCTCCTTTGCCTCTTACGGCTGGCACTTCAGCTACAGTAATCCCCCTTTAACAACCATTCATTCAGCAACCGTTCGAAATTATGATTGAACAAATGATATTTATGCGTCTTCAAAAGTATGGCTATTGCAGAGCCTCATTGTTCATAGGATCAAAAGGGCAGAGATGGGGAAGACGGAGTGGGTGGGTGGGAGAGCTGAAGCAGAGGCCAGCTTGGAAGGGCAGAAGCACAAGATCCTTATCTAAGAACCACAAGCGGGATTACTGAAACTGCTGTCACTAAGCAGTGCGGTCACATGATGTTTCGCCTAATGACCTCATTGCTTAGTGATGGAAATTCCAGTCCCAATGAGGTTCACTAAGCAATGACTACCTGTGGCGCATATTCCTTTTGGTGCGTCTTCCACCTTTTGTGCCTGCTTACTCTCTTGTAATTTCTTCCTCTCCAATGAATGTAAGTACAAACATCAATTCTCTTCTTGCTAACTATCCCAGCGCCTGGGTGAGCCCTCTAAAGGGCGGGGAGTGGGGGGGTAAAAAGGCTATAAGATTTGCCCTTTTACCTGGCTTCCTCATAACTCAAAATGCTTGAAACTTTCCCTACCCATTTGGGTTCACCTGGCATTTGTGGTCATATCCTTCTGATGCTGTAAAGCAAGGGAAAGTAGAAGTAGCCACTGTCAAGTGATTTTTTTTTTTTTACTGTTTTACTTAATGACCAAGTTGTTGGTCCCAATTGTGGTAATTAAATGAGAACTACCTGTATAATATATGGATCAACTTTTTCTTCCCATTGCAATAAAGGATAAATCTCTTGCTTATTTTTAATGCCTGAAGATAGCATCCTATGCTCTTTCACAGCTATGTATCCTATATCCTTAATCTTATTCATAAACATGCATAAGCAGAGTGGTACAGGCAGTCTTTGACTTAACCATCATTTGTTTAGGCACCATTTGAAGTTACAACGGCACTGAAAAAAGTGGCTTACGACCAGTTTTCACACTTACGACCGTTGGAGCATCCCCAGAGTCACATGATCCAAATTTGCCTGCTTGGTAATCGGCATGCCTGCATGGAAGTTGCACTGTCCCCCAAGGGTCACGTGATCCCCATTTTCAACCTTCCCAGTTGGCTTCCGATAAGTAAAATTAAGGTGGAAGCCAGATTCGCTTAACAACAGCAGGATTCACAAATGTCTTGCTTAGCAAGCGAAATTTTGGCTCAATTGCAGTTAAGTTGAGACTACCTGGACTGCATATTTCTTTTATTATCTGTGTATTAAGATTTATGTATTTGTCATGCCCTTGGTAGAATCAGACTCTGAGGGAGAGGAGAAACAGCCGACAGGGAGTGGAGGTGTGGCTCCGGAGGTTGTAGAGAAGGCTGGGGAAGGGCAGAGCCCAGCTGGGCAGTCAGAGGAAGAACCGGGGCCATCCCCTCTTCATCCTAGGACACACAGGGAGGAACGGAGAAGGAAACAACTTGGCTTACGAGAGAGGAAGTGGCCATGATTCTCCTCATTGGTTGTAGCTAGGGAGAATAGTATATAAGCGAAATGGTTACAACACAGGATTGCCAGAAGCAAAGCGTGCTTTATTTTGGGCTGAAGTTATCTTGATTGGAGTTCTTCCAACAGACTGTGCCTTGTTATTTCCTTGAAATTGGTAATTACTTATCCTGGTCTGCTGTGGAATTTCCTTCATTGTAGTTTGTTTTGGGTTTTTTTTTATTTCACCTCTGTCTGCTCATTAAGTTCGGACTGTATTGCTTTCTTTTAAAGACTATTTTTGAGTAAGTTTTATCTCCAACTGAGAATTATTGAACAGTGGGGCCAAGTTGGAGGCATTAAAGGACATTTATTTACGTTTTGGATTTTATTACATTTGTGTTACACTCCGGGTCATCACAGTTATGTATGTTGTCTACATTAAATAAGTACGTGCCCCACCACTTGATAGAATCAGGTGGAGAACACCTGATTGCATCCACATTATCTCCATTATAATTATTACCTCCATATCAGCTCTCCAAAGATGACATCCAGGAGAATGAAAATCAAATCCATCATCATCAAACGGTACAGCTCCTGCCCCACAAAGGTTTCCCAGCACTGTGGAAAGGTAAGCACCATTTGCATCAGAGCAGGCAGGTGAGCTTCTCTCCATTCAGCCTTCCCTACCACCTTTATGGAAGTCAAACGAACACCAAATAGCAGGCTAAACCAAACTCTCAAAGATGTAGTGCTCAGTTCTTTGATACCTGGTTACTCCTGGAGGAAGCTAACAATGCTTAATGTAGGATCTCTTTCAACATCTAGTGACTGTAGTCCTTCAGGCCAAAGTCCCACCATTCTATAAAACTCACAGCTTATTTGGAGCAGAAACTACCTTTTGAACAGAACAAAGCTTGAAGGTGCTTCTGGGTTCCCACAAAAAGAAGTGAATCCTAATAGATCTTAAGGAGCTGTCCCTTTATGTTCTTTGTCTGTGTCATCTTGGCTTGCATATAGGAGCAAGCTGCTGAGTTCATAAGAGAAGGGAACATTAAAAAGGCCTGGGCCAGAGTTTTGATTCAAAAGGAAGAGACTGAGGAGCCTGTAATACAAATGAAAAGGCAGGGAAGCGCATTGTAACTTGGAATGTACTGCAGCCATAGGGGAAGTGGCAGAACGCATCCATAGCAGAAGGCATCCACGAACACCAACTGCAGTCCGAAGACATGATGAACATTCTTTAATTTCACAACATATAGACAGATATAACCATAGTTTCAATGGGGAAAATGTGACAATCCTAGATCAGGCTAAATCCAAAAATGCCAGGGAATTTCTAGAAGCCTGGTACTCTGACAAATCAACCATCAAGAGGCACATAGACATTAACAGCATCTACAGACTATGTAAAAGAGATAATCAACCAGCCCAAAAGAGAACAAAAAGACTCCAGTCCGTCTCCACCAGTAATCAGCATTCAGGTCAGCATAGATTAACTCCAAGGTTAACTTCAGAGCAACAATCAACAAACTGCCAAAGAGCCATCAGTAAACAGCCCGATCAAAGAATCTCTTAAGACTGCCCCCACCCACACAGACAGACAAGACACCAGAATATAGACTGACGAGAAACAGCACTCGTTACTAGCATTGATGATGTTACCTAGTTAGGGTAATGAAACGTCTGCAAGAAACAAGCGAGCTCAGGGAGCACCAAGGATCCCTCAGATGGGAAGTCTCAGTGGCAACACTATACCAGCGGATATCTATTAATACAGCACTTATAATTTAACTGTCCTCTTAACTGCAATATCACAGGAATGCTCAGATACCTCTCCCTGGCATGCAAATCTTCACAAGCCTAGTAAAAAAGGACTTGAACCCCATGATGCGATGCTGAATATGCTCCTGCTGAATCTTTCCAGAGCTCTGAGCCCACCAGCTTCTCCCTTATCGGAAGTATTGCGCTCACCAAGCCTATCAGAGCCATCCCTCCCTGCCATGCGGGGATAAAGAATTTTATCGGCTTGGGAAGAAATGTCTTGCCTTGGAAAGAGCAGGAACTCCTTTTGGAATACCGTACCAGTGAATCTGGGTTGTAGTCTAAAACTCAAAGAGTCTTTTTCCTCCATAAAAAGGAAGCATAATTTAGTTTAATAATACTACAGAATTGGCTGTATTAAAGGCGGGTGTTTGGCAATCTCCCAATCTCTTTGTTACTCTCTCCAGATGCACTGCCAATTTGGGAAAGCCTGATTACCAAAAACGAGTGAAACACGGAAAATTGTATTCTCAGTTCCCAGATAAGCTTAGCCAAGTTTTATCAAAAAGTGCCCACAAAGAAAAAGGAACCGTCTGCTTCTTCCCATATTGGGTGTGTGTGTGTGTGTGCTTGCTCATTTCATATCCTCAACCCACTCACCACAGCCTATGATCCAAGAGAAAAGCCACACTTAGTCTGGGTGACCAGTCTTATTCAATAGGAAAAGCTACTCACTGCAGAACTCCTTCACGTTCTAAAGGCCCTTTCTCTCTTCATAACTGGCAGTCACGGGTTGTCATTCTGGCATAACTACGCACACTAGATTGACCAAGAGAAAAGCTCCTTTGTTCTTCAACCCCTAAAACCATTGATTCGTGGTTGAACCAGAGGGGCAGAGCCACTAACCCAGGGGTGTCCAACCTTGGCAACTTTAAGACTTGTGGACTTCAACTCCCAGAGTT